AAGAAAACGCTTAATTAGAGACCACACACGCTCCCGCATCCACTCCGCCACCTCGGCACCCGATCATTTTTACACGGATTCCCAGCATCCGCGATGTCAATGCATCGCCGGGTAATTCGCCGCGAAGACGCAAGACACTTCTCGTTTCACGCGATGAGCTGCTGACGAGCGTTCCGATCAGGCGATGAGAGATGCGGCCGTACGCTGGTGACGGCTGCCTGGGCGTTGCTTCGCGAATGCCCACGAACGGCCTGCGTGATGTGTAGGGGCAAATATCCGGTCGCGTGCATTGCATCACTCGGCGCGGCAAGTGGCGATGTCGTGATACTGTAGCCACAGTTCCCAGGAAGTGCACATCCGACGGCTCCGCTTCTTCGCAACCGCCGCGCGACGCCCCGCTCCGCTCCGCTCCGCCCCGCCCCCGCCCCGCTCCGCTCCGCGCCAGCACGCGACGCCGACCCGGACGCCCCGCCGGCCAATCCGCCCACTCCCAACTATCACGGCGACATCAACTTATTTATTGAACGACAAAAACAGGTCAAAACTGCGGGACCTACGATGGAGGAGAAGTGCAATCTGTGCAAGTATACTCGAGCTCTGGGACCCCATCCCTAGCTTTTACACATTAAGTCGAATTATATTACACGCAGCAACGAACGTTTTTGCCATGGTGTGATAATAACACAATATTAGCCCTCTGTAATAAAAATTGTCTCTAATGGTAAATGAGCTACAAATTTTGATTCTTATTCCCGATCGTGTCCCAGGTAAGAGGCCCTCGTGCTACCACGAGAGGATCGGGACGTGCCCTTCCTCCTGAAAAAAAAACGAAATGTAGTGTAATTCGTTAATTAACGTACCATAAAAATGAAAATTGAAGGTTAAATACAACAAACATTTTTCAAAAAATCCCAAATATCGATAAAATTTAAGTACACAATTAGCTTCATAATTTACACTTCAAATATATTTTTTTCTGAAAAGCTACCTTGTTACATTTTATGAACCTGTGCTGCACGATTCACATGACGCGTACTTGATAAAATTTCATTTCTATACGAATTGCATGTTGTAATTTAGCTTGTCCGATATTATGAAATTCATCTAGTCCAAATATTATAAGTTAATCTGTATCGAAATAATAAGTGGACAGATCTAGGAATGAGGTGTAGTCATCTCAATGCGAGAACTCGAAGTCTATACAAACTGTACGTAAAATGGTCTTACATTTTCTTACATTTTCTCACATTTCTCGTAATCAATTCGCAATGCCTTCTTAATCTTTGGCTTTTCTAAATTATCACAGAACAATTCAAAAAACAATGATGAGCAGTGGGTATTGTGGATCGCAATGAATGATTATTTTCTTCTCGAACTTCACGACTAAATTATATTTCCAATATTCTTTATTTTACTGCAATAACTGCAGCATTGCTTCGCAAGAAAAGAGGTGGACACAGAGTATGTCGAAGAAAGGACAGTTTTAGCTGGGAACCATTAACATTATTGAAATGATAACTAAAATTTTAGCTTGGAATAAAACTTGAATATTTATAATGGAAATTCTTCCGTAGAGGTGATGCGGTCAATACGTGGTAAATGTTTCGAGAGAGAAATTACAAAAAAAAATGTTGGCTTTGCGGGAGAGCATACCCTCGTGCCTCCGCCCCTAGGATCCAGCACTGCGCAACATGCCCTTTCGTAGCATTTACTTATTTAAATTTCGCCAACAGTGGCTTACCGCAGTTTCCAAGATTTCCTAATAGCTTTTGTAATTCGTTCTATCTCGAAAACAATAACTCATTTCAATTTTCCCATCCTATGGTCAATGTCAGGAAAAACAAGGAAAAATAAGTGGAATTTCCACTAATCTGATAATCTATCAACAGAATTTCGATTTTTGACTACTTTTTAAAGTAAATGCGCATTTAATTTTCAATCGCGCTTTATTTTTAAATGGCCAGCTAAAACTTTCGAAATAAGTTTCAATCACAGAACAACTGATTGATTTTTTAACTAGTCCATTTTCAGTGATGTTACACGAGATTAGTGTCTTACTTTTTTTTACAATTTAGCAAATGCACGGAATGGAGAAGCAACAGGGTTCCACGTCGATGAGTAGAATAAGAAGAAGAATAAGTAACGTTCTTCACAAACATGTGGAGTATAATGAATGTCTCGTTGAGCTAGCAACAAGAACGAATTCACTTCGCGCCTCACCATATTTTCGCTCTCGTGTTGGCACGGCTCTCCATTGCTCCTCCTCCGCCAGCCGTCATCGTGCTTCCGCATGGGTTCTGAGAACTCCACGTCACTAGCACGAAATTATACTTCGTACATATACGAAGGATACCTAAAATTAGTGAGAAATTCCCCTTCGGAGATTACGAATAACTGCAATGCAGATCACAATTTCAGAAGGGAATGAAAAGTGTGATTTAAGACGTTTGCGTGACCTGATAGAAACAAATTGATAAGTTCTTAGCGCAACTGTGGATATAATTTAGAAGTCTGAATGACCAGGATAAAACGTGTGCTTGATGATACTATTAAAGAGTACCCCAGTTGGAAATGTGATTAAAAATCTTATTCCTTCAATAAAATACTTTTTTTTGTTTCCAACACCCAGATTTATGACAAGAGAGAAAAAAAGGTTAAGAATGTAACTTGAGCACGCACGTCGTTGCCTACAGTGAGGATTGCTGTTAATCGAATGTAAAGCACAACTTTCGCATCACGTTGAACTCACGTGATACTTACGTGGGAGGTTACATGGAAGATAGCACATGGCAGGGTAATTCAGTGAAATCGATCAATCCGGTATGCAGATGCGTGAGAACGATCTCTATGGCAAGATTTCTTTGTCCTTAGTTGGCGAGAACGAGCGCTGGGAGGCGGCGGAGCGCTCGAGAGGTTTCTAGATTTTTGGCGCAGCGCCTCATTGAGGCGGCAAGGATGAAAGCGGACGGCGGCCACCGTTCCCTCGCGCCTCGCAAAAACCCCCCCCCCCCCCCAACAAATAACACGAATCAAACACGTACAACTTCGCCAGTAATTAGTTAATAACTCATCTTACTCTAAGTTACGCCTACTAAAGGGCAGGTATTTCAACGTAAGAATTTGATTAAATTACACTTAGTTATTGCGACAAAGCCTCTCCATCCTATAACCGCTTAAGCTGTAAGGTATGTTAGCCTGATGTATCCAAAGTATAGAAAATAAATTCCCGCGTGCACAGGGGCCAAACGAAAGCAGCCCGAGTGCGCGCTCGAATCGGCCGCGGCGGCCGCGGAGCAGGAAATGGCGGAGACGAACCGGCGCGAAGAGGTGGC